AATAGCGATGCCATTAAGTTTCGGATTTCGTCGTCTTCGGGGAAAATATATTTACCGAGAACTGCAATGTTCTCGAAGCTGAATTTGAAAATCAAGCCTGTTTTCGAATTCTACGTTTCTGTATGCCTGTTAATCGTTTGGCCCACAAGAAATCTCTCAAAAATTGCAAATCCGTACACATCGGCGTAACTGGTATACCAATAACCCTTTAATGGACAACATCTTTTATAATGGCTATCAGGAAAACTGCCCTGGCTCACGGTGAAGGAATAGTCTAGGGTTTTGTGGTATACGTCAGATAGACAGTAACCTTTGTCACATTCGATTTCAAGATCTTGAAGAGTGTCTGCACTAGAATAAGTCGTGCTAAGCTGGAGGAACTGACCTCATGATCAGTGCTTCCATTTCAAAATCATTGACTGCCTGCTTGGAGGCAGTTTTTGGTAGTGTTTTGACAGCAACCTGTACCAGCTGGGCCGCACCGCAGTGTAACGCACCCTCGTACACTTCTCCAAATGCGCCTTGACCAAGAGGCCTACAATACTTATTATTTGATTAAACCATACTCTCAGATAATTTGTTTTAGTTCTGAACTATTGCCAGCTACTGCTTCATCGAAGCGCTTCTTCACACAGTCCAATGCAGCTGGCTGATTTTTAACGCTGATTAAAGCCTCACTGACTACTGGTCAGTTTGCTATCAACCGTAATGTATGTTTCTTTTTTCCCCCAGCTTGTCTTTCCGGAGAGAGGGACGGGGGAGGATATATGCATCAAATTCTTCGATATCATTAAGATTATTTGTGGCCAAAATTTTGAAATGGAAAGGTTTCAGTACGATTATGTGTCAAGTAAATAGCATTATGTAAATTGGCCAGATTTTTTCTGTGGATAACCTAACAAATTACCACAAAAGCTAACTTCTTTAAAATGACATTATTGCGATGTATATGTTGTAGCTCAGCGCATGGCCCAAACGACTCATAAATTGGGTTGCCAGAGATGCTGATCGGCGCGGTTGGTGGCAGTGCACACATTCCAATTTCATGATTCAATTCAGCCTTCTCCATCTTTGCTTTTTTCA